TGTATAACCAGCAGTAATTAGCACTTGCTTTCTGAAGCCTGGCTTTATTGAATAAATTACATGCTCCTTAAAATCCGTCAGGGAACAAATTACACTCCCAGTACTTTTTATCCTTTGAAGCCTGGTTAAGCGAACCGAGCGAGAAACCCCGGAATTCGACCGAGTCCCAGCCTGTGGCGCCGGTTTGACATTCAATTTTTGGGGGAAACATTGCCGGGAAAAATCCTTAGATCCCACCTTTACATAATTTAACTTTCTTAAAATTGTAAGAACCCGGGCCTCCGAACAAAGGAAGCTCGGTTTAACGTCTCACCCGAAGGATGGAGCCACCGACAATGTGGGGCTCTCTCCCCTACCCTTCCCTCCAGCGCTTCACTGCAGCGACAGATAGACTGCATGAGCTCAAAGCCCCCCCATCTCAACAACACCACCAACAGCTTGGGAGGCGAGAGCGTGACCGATTGAGCCATGGGCCAACACCATACCACCCCTGTCGCGGTGCGGGCGAGGCTGGCCACGCTGCGAGGGTGATTGACGCCCTTCACCCCTCGTGCTTCCAAAATAAACCCAACAGAGAAAGTCAATTACAGCGAAGCCATCAATAGCTGATTACCCATCTGTCGGGGCCGCTCGGCAAGTGACTGAGGCGAGTCGTTGGACGGGAGCTTATCTGCGTGGCTGACAGACAGACAGAGAGACAGACCGGGTGGAATTAGAATTGACTGTGGAGGAGGAAGGCAGCCATTTATTTCCAGGCAGATTACATCTCCTCGGTTGCGGCACGGCCCAGTGTCTCTCAATCAGTCAAGCCAGAGTTTTCAGCAGACGTGTAGTAATCAACCCTGCCCCTGATGCGTCAGTCACCATCATCCTCTGGATAGTTTTAATCCCTCACTCTCCCACAATTTTCTCTCTCTCGCACGCTCTCGCTGTCTCCTCGCTTTCGCTTGCGTTCTATTGCACTTGGGAATGTCTCAAAGCGCTTCACAGGATTTTACTGTGAAGTGAAGCGTATTGAATGTGTTTTGGAGGGGAACGCGGCAGCCAATTTGCACACGGAAACAAAACACCAACAGCTGTGAAGTGAGCGAGCAATTTTATCTGCCTTCCCCCCATCCACCCTCTCTCCCCTCTCCAGGCTCACTCTCTGGTATTAGGAACTATTAGGGGTCCAGTTGGGTTTTGGGTGCAGTTGGTCCCTGGGTGCATTTGGGTTCTGGTGTTGTTGATCCCTGGGTGCAGTTGTGCCCTGGGTGCAGTTGGGCCCTGGGTGCAGTTGGGCCCTGGGTGCAGTTGGGCCCTGGGTGCAGTTGGGCCCTGGGTGCAGTTGGGCCCTGGGTGCAGTTGGGCCCTGGGTGCAGTTGGGCCCTGGGTGCAGTTGGTCACTGGGTGCAGTTGGGCCCTGGGTGCAGTTGGGCCCTGGGTGCAGTTGGGCCCTGAGTGCAGTTGGGCCCTGGGTGCAGTTGGGCCCTGGGTGCAGTTGGGCCCTGGGTGCAGTTAGGCCCTGGGTGCTGGTCGCTGGGTGCAGTTGGGCCCCTGGAGGAGCTGCTCTGTGAGGCCCGGACTGTGCTATAGCAGCAGGAGATGGCTGCGTTGAGGGGACTGCAGTCCGCCCGCCTAATTTTTCCAGCTTTACATTCCACGCGCAGACCGAGGCGAGAGGTGTTTAAATTGGACAGACGGTCGATGCGATAAGGATAAAGGTTGAAGTGTTATTGATGTTCTGCCAGCAGCACTTTTAGTCAGCGCGATGGGTTATTATAAGTTAAAAAGCTCCCGGCGACTCCGCAGCACTACTCAGATTACTTTCTAATTCAGAATATTTCCTGTCGGGATTTCATCATCAGAAATCCGAGCCCAGCGGGAGGGGTGGGGGTGGTGGGTGGGGTGGGGGGGGGGGGGCTCCATCCACTAACAGGAGAGGAATTCCGGTGGCTCGGTTGATGAGATTCCTTCTTTCCCCTAAGAAATAACCCATATAATACCCTGGTTCCACCAAACCTGCCTCAACCTGCCTCAAAAACAACAACAAAATGGCACTTGTGGAGCGCCTTTCAGGGCTGGTGGATGTCCCAAGGTCGGGGATTTGGACCTGAGCTGGGGTTGGGATCAGGAGGGGTGGAAGGCGGGGAGTGTTGGGGTAGGAGGGTGGCCAAAAGCATGGTCGAAGAGGTGCTTGAGACGTGCTTTGAAGGAGTCAAAGGAGGGAGCAAGACAACGGGGCTATGGGATGGAGTTCCAAAAGGGTGGGGGGACAGAGGAGTTGAAGGTCCAACCGGGCAGGGAACATGGAGCAGATCGGTGCCTGCTGAGCGGAGGGAGCGGACAGTTTGATATGGGGTCAGCGGGTCACAGAGGCAGGAAGGAGCAAGGACATGGAGGGACTCCATCAGCATCACTCTCCCCCTTCATATCAGGAGGAGGGCATTAAAGATCTTGTGACTCTGTCCGGAAAAGAGAAGGTTTTTCTCTCTCTCTCTCTCTCTCCCCAGTATCTTGGCCGACAATTCCCCCATTTTAAAACGCTCGTTCACTTCACGGCTGTCGAAAATGTTGTGAAGCTCTTTGGAACACCCACCCTCACACACACAGAGAGAGAGAGAGAGAGAGGGGGAGGGGGAGGGAGGGAATGGGAGAGAGAGGACGAAAGAGAGAGAGGACGGTTGAGAGGGAAAGTGTGTGAGAGAGAGGGAGAACGTGAGAGAGAAAGAGAGAGGGAGAGAGCGCGCGAGAGAGTGTGTCTGAGGGTGAGAGACGTCATAGCAAATGTAAGGGTCGTTATTATCAACAAGTGGCCTGCAATCAACAACGGATAAAAGTCCTGGGATCCTCCGCAGAAGTGTGTTCTTTGGGATTTATTTTGTGTTTCGCCAACAAAACGCACAGTCACTGCACTTTACAATGTATTGTGATGTCTTGAAGACTGATGAGGCGCTTTATCAAATGCACGGATTATTATTAAACCGGCTTCTGTTCCGGGTCCCACAACCTACTTTGTGGCTGGTCAAGATGAATAGTCTTTAACGTCCACCTGAACCGGTGCTTGGTTTAATACCTAAACCTGAAGGTTGTCTCACCCCACCAATGCAGCAGGCACTCTCTCCCCCACAGTGCGGCGCTCTCTCTCCCCCACAGTGCGGCGCTCTCTCTCCCCCACAGTGCGGCGCTCTCTCTCCCCCACAGTGCGGCGCTCTCTCTCCCCCACAGTGCGGTGCTCTCTCTCCCCCACAGTGCGGCGCTCTCTCTCCCCCACAGTGCGGTGCTCTCTCCCCCACAATGCGGTGCTCTCTCCCCCACAATGCGGCGCTCTCTCCCCCACAACGCGGTACTCTCTCCCCCACAATGCGGTGCTCTCTCCCCCACAATGTGGTACTCTCTCCCCCACAACGCGGTGCTCTCTCCCCCACAATGCGGTGCTCTCTCCCCCAGCCAGCACTGTGCCGTCAGCCGAGACTGTGAGCTCAGAGTCCCTGATTTTTTTTTATTCTGGGGGTCAGCCGGCTTGGGTGTCTGACACGTGCTTCCGTCACCCATCACCGTTGCTGAAGAGACCCCAAGCTAAACTGAGAGCTCCGGGCACCCCACATGCACGTGGAAATCCCAGAGATAAATTGTTGGAATGGAATGTGCACTCTCATCCTGCTCACTAATTCCGGAAAGTATGAGGCGGAGGTTGGCAAGAGCCACGGCGTGGGAGAGCCCAGTACTTGGCTGTTGCCAATAGAGTCCCTGATGTGTGGAGTGCCCGACAGAGCCAGGCTGAGAGACGTCAGTGGGTCAATACGTCTGCACAGCACTCATCTCCTGCAGAGATCGGGGACGCCTCTGCCTTGTTGTCGACTTTAATAATGTAAGAGCTGTTGGCTTAGAGTCACAGTGTTAGTTATTGATGGGCCACCGGCTGGCTAGAGGCAGCCATGTGGCTCTCAGTGACAGTCTACAGATGGGGTGAAGGGTTTCCTTGCGGTTCCACGTTTTCTCATTCTCGCCAACGGTAAAACATTTGACGAGAATGAGAGAATGTGGAACTACACAGAAACCCTGGCCTGTGAATTGCCAGGAGGTCCTATAATTCCCCCCTGGTCTTAGCCGCCTGCAGTGTACTGGTTAGAGCGCACGCCTCGTAAGCGAAAGGACCCGGGTTCGACTCCTGGACAAGGCACAAACATTTTGCAGGTTTCCTTACTCCTCACTCCTCTGTTTACCTCGCCCGGTTAAATCGGAGCCCGGTTTTTAGTCGATTGGCGGATCGCTTTTCCGGGGGTATTAATCCCTTAAAAGATAATAATAATGTGGTCACTCAACCCACAACTGTTTGTGGGACACCGCTGTTCGCAATTGGCTGCAGTGTTTCCTCCACACTGTAATCAATTCACTTTACACTATGTTCTGTGAAGAGCTTTGAGACGTGTCGAAGACGTGCTAAGGCACTATATCAAATGCAAGGATTATTATCATATACATTATAGCCTGCGGCCCCATGTTTATCCAGGTTCTAATTATCCTCCCAACCAGCCTCACGCTGTAATTCACAAGGCCTCACACTGTTGAAACAGACCAACCAACCGACCAACCCACCAACGTGGGTCTCTGGCGCAAATTACCTGCCACATTCGTGCACAACACACACCTTACAGCAGAATCCTGTGAAATGCCTGTCACGTTAGACAAAGGCGCTATCCTAGACAGTTATCTATTTGTCTTTCTACCTATCTAGCTATCTGTCGGTCTGTCTCTCTGTCTATTTCTCCATCTCCCTCCATCCCTCTCGCCCCATCCTTCTCTCTCCATCTCTCTATCCATCTCTCTATATTTCCGCCCGCAAAACGCACAACCAATTCACTTCACAGTATATCCTGTGAAGCACTTGGGAGGCGTCTCAACGACTTGATAAGGCGCTGTATCAAATGCAAGGATTATTATTATTATAGAGTGAGTGAGTGAGTGAGTGAGTGAGAGAGAGAGAGAGAGAGAGAGAGAGATGGCTGACAGCTGCTCACCTCTCTCGCAGGTCCTGCCCCAGGAGCCGGTGCCGGTGCAATCACACACGAAGCGGTTCCAGCCCTCGCGACAGGCAGCGTTGGCTTTGCAGGGGTTGCTGTCGCACTGTTTGGCGGGGATCCGGACGCAGGAGGGCTTGACCCCGGCGGCGTTCTGAGCCTCCGCCAGCTGCCGGATGTCCTTGCTGCGGCCGTCGATGAACAGGTCCCGCACACAGCCCACGTAGCCGTAGTTGAGCATGGCCGTCCAGAGCGCGGTGGGCAGTGTCAGACCCCCGCGGTTGTCTGGCAGCCCCCCCAGGTACATGTCCCCCTCCAGGTCCAGGATCTCACTGTCACCGCTCGCCGTAAAGGGAGTCCGCCGGCTGTTCACTGAGATCGTCCCTGTCCAGAGAGAGAGAGAGACTGTGTGAGACAGTGTGTGCGCGAGAGATTGTGTGTGTGAGAGAGGAAGAAAGGGGGAGAGAGAGAAAGAGTGTGTGAGAGGGGGAGAGTGAGAGTGGGAAGAGAGGGAGAGGGGGGGAAGAGAGTGTGTGTGAGAGAGGGGGGAGGAGGGAGTGTGAGATACAGTGTGTGAGAGAGGGAGAGAGTGTGTGTGTGTGAGAGAGGGAGAGACGGTGTGAGAGAGGGAGAGGGAGCATGTGAGTGTGAGGGTGCACTCTCACTCACACACTCCTGCTCCCTCTCTCTCCCTCGCACTCTCTCGCTAACACACTCTGTCTCCCTTGCACTCTCTCGCACGCTCACACTCTCTCGCTCACACACTCTCGCTCACAAACTCTCTCGCACACTCAACACACCTTCTCTCACTCGCTCAAACACACTCCCTCTCCCCTTCTCACACACTCTCACTCTCCCTCACGCATTCTCTCTCTCCCTCGCTCACACTCTGCCTCCATCCCCGGCCCTGCCGTTGCCGTTGCCGTTGCGCTCACCTGACCTCCCGTCTCTCTGGATGTCCACGTGATGCCATTCGCCATCGTTGACCTTCCTGTTGGTGGCTCTGACCTTGATGGCCCCCGAGCCCATGTCCAGGAGCAGGAACAGGTTCCCCTCGAGCAGCTCCACCGCAAAGAAGTCCACCCGCGTCTTCCGAAGGGTCCGGCTGTCCTTGCGGGCCTGGGGCTTGCCATGGGTGAAGAGGATCAGGCCGCTGGGCTCCGTGGTGCGGAAGTCGAAGGAGATGGAGCCCATCTTCTTGGTGTTCCACTTGGGGAGGCTGATGTAGGCCTCGGGGGTCTCGAAGTTGATGGGGGCCAGAGTGGCCACGTTCTCACACTTGAACACCACCTCCCCGTGCACCTTCATCTTGGGGTCCCGGATCCTGGCCAGACGGGACAGCTCCAGCCGGATGTCATTGTTCTTGTACACCACCTGGCGACAACGACAACAACAACAACAGCAGCTTGCTTTTATATCGCGCCCTTCACGCCGGGTGGCGTCTCGGAGCCCGGGCTCTCGCTCGGGCTCCCTCTCCTCTCTCTCTCTCTCTCTCTGCTCCCCCCACCCCGGCCCCCAGGTCAACACTCCGTCACCGCAAGACGTTGCTGGGCACAAAACGGCCAATGCGACCACCCGCTGACAGCGGCCCAGGGCCACCCATCGACCCGTTGAATGGCACTGGGGACAGAAGCACCTTCATTCAGTTCCACAGCTGTTCAGTTCAGCATATAAATCAGTCGCGCCCCTACTCGGCTCTGCCCCGCTTCAGTCTCCCCCGCATCCGGTCCTGCCCTTATCATGTTTATTCGGGGGGGGGGGTGTCCTGCATTTAGTTAGCGCTGCGCTGATTCAGCTCCGCGTGCGTTCGTGCTGCGCTTGCAACACCAGATTGCACAGCAATAACCGGAATACACACGGTGACAATCCACTTCCCAGAAACATATGGTATTCCAGGCAACAAACAACAGCCCATGTGGTAAATTTATAGCGCATTTCACCGCGATGACGGGGGGTGATTTATGAGACACCAGACACTGGGTTGGCACCAAAGAAGCCATCGAGAAGGTGATTCCTTATTCTGTCAAATCTAATGTCCCATTTAAGTAAAATTACCAACAATATTATTGCCGGGACTGTTTTCGGCCGCAGCTTATTCATACTCCTATGATTTATAGATCGTGTTCAATGTGATAGAGTAGAGATCATTAGAACAGTGCCATCAATAACAACAAACTGATGAAATGTCATCCTGATCTCTCTCGGAACCTGTCACGTCACGTTGTCACACCTCGCGCTCTGCACACTGTGTACACTGTATAACACACCTGCTCACACCGTGTACGCTGTATAACACATCCTGCTCACACCGTGTACGCTGTATAACACACCTGCTCACTGTGTACACTGTATAACACACCTGCTCACACCGTGTACGCTGTATAACACACCTGCTCACTGTGTACACTGTATAACACACCTGCTCACACCGTGTACACTGTATAACACACCTGCTCACTGTGTACACTGTATAACACACCTGCTCACACCGTGTACGCTGTATAACACATCCTGCTCACACTGTACAACACACCCTGCTCACACTGTACAACACACCCTGCTCACACTGTACACACTGTATAACACACCTGCTCACACCGTGTACACTGTATAACACACCCTGCTCACACTGTATACACTGTATAACACACCCTGCTCACACTGTGTACACTGTACAACACACCCTGCTCACACTGTGTACACTGTACAACACACCCTGCTCACACTGTGTACACTGTACAACACACCCTGCTCACACTGTATAACACACCCTGCTCACACCGTGTACACTGTACAACACACCCTGCTCACACTGTGTACACTGTACAACACACCCTGCTCACACTGTGTACACTGTACAACACACCCTGCTCACACTGTATAACACACCCTGCTCACACCGTGTACACTGTACAACACACCCTGCTCACACTGTATGCACTGTACAACACACCCTGCTCACACTGTATGCACTGTACAACACACCCTGCTCACACCGTACACACTGTATAACACACCCTGCTCACACTGTATGCACTGTACAACACACCCTGCTCACACTGTACACACTGTATAACACACCCTGCTCACACTGTATACACTGTACAACACACCCTGCTCACACTGTACACTGTATAACACACCCTGCTCACACTGTATACACTGTATAACACACCCTGCTCACACTGTACACACTGTATAACACACCCTGCTCACACTGTACACACTGTATAACACACCCTGCTCACACTGTATACACTGTATAACACACCCTGCTCACACTGTATAACACACCCTGCTCACACTGTATAACACACCCTGCTCACACTGTATACACTGTATAACACACCCTGCTCACACTGTATAACACACCCTGCTCACACTGTATACACTGTATAACACACCCTGCTCACACTGTACACACTGTATAACACACCCTGCTCACACTGTACACACTGTATAACACACCCTGCTCACACTGTATACACTGTACAACACACCCTGCTCACACTGTGTACACTGTACAACACACCCTGCTCACACTGTACACACTGTATAACACACCCTGCTCACACTGTACACACTGTATAACACACCCTGCTCGCACTGTATAACACACCCTGCTCGCACTGTATACACTATATAACACACCCTGCTCACACTGTATACACTGTATAACACACCCTGCTCGCACTGTACACACTGTATAACACACCCTGCTCACACTGTACACACTGTATAACACACCCTGCTCACACTGTATACACTGTACAACACACCCTGCTCACACTGTGTACACTGTACAACACACCCTGCTCACACTGTACACACTGTATAACACACCCTGCTCACACTGTACACACTGTATAACACACCTGCTCACACTGTATAACACACCCTGCTCGCACTGTATACACTATATAACACACCCTGCTCAGCACTGTGTACACTGCATAACACACCCTGCTCACACTGTATAACACACCCTGCTCGCACTGTACACGGTATAACACACCCTGCTCACACTGTGTACACTGTATAACACACCCTGCTCACACTGTACACACTGTATAACACACCCTGCTCACACTGTGTACACTGTATAACACACCCTGCTCGCACTGTATACACTATATAACACACCCTGCTCACACTGTACACACTGTATAACACACCCTGCTCGCACTGTATACACTATATAACACACCCTGCTCACACTGTACACACTGTATGACACACCCTGCTCACACCGTGTACGCTGTATAACACACCCTGCTCGCACTGTATACACTGTATAACACACCCTGCTCACACTGTATACACTGTACAACACACCCTGCTCACACTGTATACACTGTACAACACACCCTGCTCACACCGTGTACGCTGTATAACACACCCTGCTCGCACTGTATACACTGTATAACACACCCTGCTCACACTGTATACACTGTACAACACACCCTGCTCACACTGTACACACTGTATAACACACCTGCTCACACTGTGTACACTGTATAACACACCCTGCTCACACCGTGTACGCTGTATAACACACCCTGCTCACACTGTGTACACTGTATAACACATCCTGCTCACACTGTACACACTGTATAACACACCCTGCTCACACCGTGTACGCTGTATAACACACCCTGCTCACACTGTAGTAACTGTGGGTTCCGCTCACAAACGCAGCAGCCATTTTGCGCACAGCGATGTCCCACAAACAGCCATGAAGTGAACGAGTGGTTTGATAAATGAATAAGAATTATAACATTACTGAAATTAATTTTATCAGGGGCGCAAGTTCCCAGCGCCTTGGGTCATCCTCGCCACGTGAAAGGCGCTATACGAATATAATTTTGTTGTTGTTGGAGGGAGATGAACTCCCTTCTCTTTTTCCATTAGCGCTGTGGGACTTTTAACGTCCACTTGAAGCAACTGCACAGACAGGGAGTTTAGTTTAATAATAATCCTTGTATTTGATATAGCGCCTTATCACGTCATTGAGGCATCTCAAAGCGCTTCTCAGAATAAACCGTTAAGTGGAGTGACTGTGTATTTTGTGGCCGAAATGCTTACCGTCTCATCACTAGGACGAGGTGTTTAATAGCGGCCAGGATTCAGGAACCATATGATCGCCAGGAAAGCAGAACCTCACTGAGTTTTAATGAGTTGTGATCACAGCAAGAGTTTCGGACACGGATTTGGAGTGAGTTCCGGAGAGCGGGGGCTGAAAGCTCCCATTTACAGATGAATTACTGCCTCCTGAAGCTCGCTCGCTTGTCAGGAATGCACAGCATTCAACCTCATCCTCAGTCCCCATATAGAGAAACTATTTCCTCTGGTGGGGGAATCCAGAACAAGGGGCATAACCTTACGATTAGAGCTCGGCCATTTAGGAGTGAAATCAGGTAACAGTTTTTCACCCAAAGGTTAGTGGAAATCTGGAAATCTCTTCCCAAAAGGCTGTGGATGCTGATCCATTCACAGTTTCAAGACGGAGGTGGATAGATGTTTGTAAAGTCAGGGTATTAAGGGCTATGGGGCAAAGGCGGGCAACTGGACTTGAGATACAGATCAGTCATGATCTTATAGAATGGCGGAAAAGGTTCAAGGGGCTGAATAGCCTCTGTTTCTATGCGCACCTCCCACTGCCAAACCTCACTGAGGTACTTGGTAGCTCAGTGGTTAGAGCACTCGCTTTGCAAGTGAGAGACCTGAGTTCAATCCCCGGCAGGTCAGGGCCAAACCTTGGGCAAGTTTCCTTACTCCACACAGAGCCTAATAATAATCCCTCCAAAACCAAAAACAATAATAAATTGGTCATTTTCAATCCACGACTGTTTGTGGGACATTGCTGTGCGCAATTGGCTGCCGCGTTCGCCCACAAATATACAGTCAATTCACTTTACAGTGTGTTCTGTGAAGCGCTTTGGGACGTCCTCCCGACGTGAAAAGCGCTATATCAAATGCAAGGATTATTATTATTATTATTGGCAGATTGCAGTATCACAAGACTGTCACTGTGTGGCGCAACAGACACGTTACAAGAACCAGTGTTCTCCACACGAAACCCACACCCAACACACACACACACGCGCGCGCACACAGAGCGCTTCAAGAATAATTTGCTCCCAGCGCAATAAACTGCGTGATTGAACCCGAACTCACACAGAGTGCTCCAGCAGGGACACGCCTTTGATCTCCAATCGCTTCACGTGGTTTACCGTAAAGCGTAGTGACTGTGTTGTTGTTAAGCGATGGCGGCAGCCAATTTGCGCACAGCGACGTCCCGGCAAACAGCCGCAAAGTGAACGGGTGACTTTAGCCGTGGCGGTGAGCGCGGAGGGAATGTCGGCCAGGACAACAGAAGAGAGAAATTCCCTTCTCTGTCCCGATAGCGCAGTGGGAGATCTTTAATGTTCGCCTCAACAGACCACATATCCTAAATAATCCTTGCATTTGATACAGCGCCTTGTCCCATCCTCGAGACGTCTCAAAGCCTTTCACGGAATATATTGTAAAAATAAATTGGCTGTGTATTTTGCGGGCGAAATGCCGAAGCCAATTGCGCAGTCAGGGAGAGAGCTTAGTTTGACATGTGGTCTGCTCAGCGTCAGACTGGACTGTGAGTTCATAGTCCTCTGATGGGGGGGGGGGGGGGAGCAAGGGGGCAGGAGGTCTGCTCCACATCCCCCGCCCCAACCGCCCTACCATCGGTGGTCGGGCCTTCAGCCTCTCAGCCCCGAGGCTCTGGAACCCTATCCCCAGTGCCTTCGCCGCTTCCTCCCTTTCCTCCTTCAAGGCCGGTCTCAAGACCTTTCTCTTTGACCGTGCCTTCAGCTCCCCTCTCGACTCTCTACCCCCTCCTCGCTCCCTCCCTTCCCTCCCCTCACCCTGACCATTTCCCCCCCCAATGCTCGGCTCCCGACCCAACTGCCCATTGCCTTGGGACGTCCCCCCGACGTGAAAGGCGCTCTATAAATGGAATCTTGTTGTTGTTGTTGTTTTGACGCCCTCAAACCCTCTTCCCTTCCCTTCCACTCCCCCCCTCCCCTCCGTAGCCCTCTTCCCCCACCTCATACCTCTTTCAAACATCCCATGAAGTTGTTGCTGACGGGGGAGCCGGGCAGGTCTGCCGTGCTCGGGCTGCCCCCCACGTAGAAGAAATCATCAGAGCCCAACATGGTGTAGTCCTCCTGCGTGTAGCCAGTGGTGGTGAGAATCCCATCCACAGATATGGTCACCTGGCGGGGGGGAGCGTGTCGTGGGAGAGAGAGGGAGGGGAGGGGAGGGGGGGAGGGGAGTGGGAGAGGAGGAGGAGGATGGCGGGTGTGGAAGGAAGGAAGAAGAAGAAAAAAAAACACAACCAGAAAGTGACCTTCACAAGTTACCGCTGTCTGGCACATGTCTCCTCGTCCTTTGCCAGCTGTCGTTGCTGTCGTCGTTGTTGCTAGGTGGGGTGGGGTGGGGGGAGTGAGGGGGATGGGGGGGGGGAATTGTTGGTCTATAATTGCTCTCGTCCTTACGTGATTTTTTAAAAATTGTATTGAGGACCCTAAATCCACTGCTGACGTCCTATTTTCTGGTCTGCATCACACATCGGCGATGGGCGAGAGAGAGAAACAGAGATAGAGGCAGAGAGAGAGAGCGACATCCCTCCTTTCACTACATGGTTTCCCTCCCTCCCCCCCTCCCCGCACTCCATGTCCTTTTTCCCCCCATGGTTGTGAGCTTTTCTCCCCATTCCCTTCCCTCTCCTCCCTCCACCACCCCGTTCCGTGTCTCGATGGGAGGGTCGCTTTTTGGGGGTCAGGCGCAAAAATTGGAACAATTTCATATTGAAAAAAAATACGCATATATATATATATATATATAAAGTATATATGTGTACATCTGTATTAAAAGTAAAACGCCCATCTATATTAGTTACAAGGACGGAGCTCGCTATTCGGTCTGAAAGGCAAAGAAAATGAATGGTTTGTGGGTTTTTTTTAATTCAAAGTTTTGCTCTCTTGAAAAATATTCCTCAGTCCCTCCTCTTCCTCTCCTCACCCTCCTCTTCCCCCCAACCCCCACCCCACCCCACCCCCCCACCCACACCCCGACACCCACACCCCCACCGACGGTCATCACTGAAGGATGTCTTACCAGTTCGAGTCTGGTCAGAGAGGGAGGGAGGGAGGGAGGGAGGCAGAGGGAGGGAGGGAGGGAATTTGTGTGTGTTGGTGGCGACCAGAGAGATGTCCACAGCATGAATGGAATCCATGCCATGATTCAAAGCTCAACCACAAAAATATATATTAAAAAAATAAAAATAAACTAATACGAAAAAAAAACCTTTCTTTAAAACAAATATACATCCACGTTATATACACACATATATATATATATAGTATATATAAACACAGGTGGCCCAACACTCTGCTTGGAGCACATCTGGCTCCAAGAAGAGTTAATGAAATTAAAACCAAAGAGAGAGAGTGAGAGTGAGAGAGTGAGAGAGAAAGAGAGAGAAACCAAACTAAGAAAGATACGTGCAAAATGCCAACTCAACACGCCATGCAAAATGAAAGCCTTTCAACCACTGGGGGAGACTACAATAGCTCAGCTTTCTGTTGCATGCAAAAACCACAATGAAACGGGTGTGTTGGAGGAAGCGGAGGTGAGGGAGGTGAGGGAGGGGGGAGGGGAGGGGGGGGGGTTGTTATGTTAAGACGTGTTAGTGGAGGGGTGTTAGAGAGAGTGATGGTTTGGGAAGCGATGGATGTGCGGTTTGCATCTGTGTGAACCATACAAAGAAATGGTGTGTGTGTATGTGTGTGTTCATGCGCTCCCCATGCACTGTCTGCGGAGAGAGACTGGCCGAGACCAGCGCTGCTCAGCTCTCACCGAGGCTTTGGACTAAAATAAAATTGGAGAGAGAGAGAGAGAGATGGATTGGTTTCTGATGACAAAACAAAGCGAATGGCACAGGCCCTGCGGCTCGGCCACTCGCCCGGCAGACACGGGCCTCCCCAACCCTGGGCCAGAATGTCAGCACTCAGTGTTCCGCTCAGAGCTCAAACTATACATAACGGGGGGAGAAAAGGGGTGAGAGAAAGAGAGAGGGAGAAAATAAAACAAAAGGTAAAAAGGGAGGGGGGGAGAGAGAGGGATGGGATGGGTAGAGAGAAGGTATGGGTGGGTGGAGGGAGGGAGGGGTGGAGGGATGAATGGAACGAAGGAGAGAGGGAGGGAAGGAAGGAGCGAAGGACAGATGGAAGGAATTAGGTGGAGAGGGATGGATGGATGGAGAGAAGGAGGGCTGGGTGGAGGGATGGGGCAATGGATGGATAGATGGAGGGAGGGAGGGATGGGTAGAGAGGGAGGGATGGATGGCTGGAGAGAAGGAGGGCTGGGTGGAGGGATGGGGCAATGGATGGATAGATGGAGGGAGGGAGGGATGGGTAGAGAGGGGAGGGATGGATGGATGGAAAGAAGGAGGGCTGGGTGGAGGGATGGGGCAATGGATGGATAGATGGAGGGAGGGATGGGTAGAGAGGGGAGGGATGGATGGATGGAGAGAAGGAAGGTTGGGTGGAGGGATGGGGCAATGGATGGATAGATGGAGGGAGGGAGGAAGGGAGGGATGGGTAGAGAGGGGAGGGATGGATGGAAGGATTGATGGAATAATGGAGGGATGAAGGAATGGAACGAGGGAGAGATGGAAGGATGGAATTGGAAAAGGGGCGAGAGGGAGGAAAGCCAACTCAGTAGAAAATAGAAAGTAGGAGAGAGAGAGAAACAATTGACAGAAACAGGTGAACGGGGTGGGGTGGGGGTGGGGGTGGGGGGGGTGACCAAATGTTGAAGAAAAAGCCCCCCTTTCCTGATGTGAATGGTGTCTACAATGAACTGAAACAAAAAGAGAGCGAGGAAGGGGGTGGGGGAGGGGGTGGAGTGGGAGGTGGGTGGTGGGTGGGTGGTGGAGTGGGGAGAGGAGGAGGAGGAGGAGGAGGAGGTGGTGGGGGGAAAGAGGAATAGGGAGAAAGCACACGGCAAACCCAAAAAAAGAGACAATAAGAATGATATCTACCAGACAATGTAGTTTGTTTACCATAGCGTGTCCAATGCCTGAGTGCTTTGCGGAGAGGGGGGGAAGAAAGGAAATTTAAAAAATCGTGAACAGAATAACTGTTGACTGTTACTCAAATTAAAGCAATGATGATAAAGAGAAACCAGGTGTTAGTACAATTAGTTGGTTAGAGGTCACGGTTAGTAAGTAATGACACATTCCATGAATGGTTAGCGTTAGTCTCTCGGGAAGCGTTCTTCCCGGTGTTTTTGTTTTTCTCTCTCTCACGCACACGCACACACGCACACGCGCGCACACGCACGCACGCACACGCACGCACGTGTACACACACAACAAAAGGCAAAGTGAAACTTCAGAAGATCCAGTAAATCATTTCGCTCGCTTCCATTTTTAGGTCCTTCGCCCCCCCCCCCCCCCCCCCCACCCACTTCGCCCCTCTTCTTCCCCCCACTCTCCCCCCTTTTTTCTTTACTGGAACATGTATCGTAACAGAGACACGCGGCGGTTTGGTTTGTGCGCACGTCGTGTGGGACTATCTTTTTCCCTCATTTCTCTTCTCCTCGACCTCCTGTACCGCCTCTCTCCCCCCCCACCAACCCCCGCTTGCTTATTTTTGTCTAAACGCCCTGGTTTAGGGAATGCCCCCCCACTCTTCTTGGTATTTACATTCCTGGAGTTCTCCTCACCCCCCCCCACCCTCCGCCCCATCCACACATAGGCTGACACATGGGTTTTAGTCGAAAGTCTCCCCAATCTCTGGAGCTAATGAGCCACTCAGTGTCTGTTTTCTGCCCTTCGCCCCCCCCCCCCCCCCCACCCACCTCTCCCAACCTCCAGATCCCGGCCGCTTCTGGGAATACTGCCGGGAGAGGTGAAAGCTTTGGGAATTGGCATGAGGGTCGAGGAGCAAAGCCGATCGATCAAGTGCCGGGATTAAACAAGGCGAGCGCGCGTGGGTGGGGGCGTGGGCAACATCTCCGGCTGCGGGACAGGCTCCCATTGCCCCCCCGCCACCCCCACTTCCCCTCTATGTGCTCGCTCTGTGATAACAGTCACATGGCTTTGTGACCATCTTTAAATCCCCCCCATATAATGTTTAAGAGACATGGAACTTTTCTTAAATCCACTTGCCAGTTGCCAGTTAAGACGGGAAGAGCTCTCACGCTTTCCAAAGTGGGAAATTTGCCACCAGTAAAAAAAAACAGAGAGAGAGAAAAAGAGAGAGGGAGGGAGGGAGGGAGGGAGAGAGAGAGACAGAGAGAGAGGGGATGTGTGGCCGACAAGACAGCCAGCGCTTCAGAAAGCAAAGAGAATAATGTAAAGGAAATTAAACGATGGACGAAGTACTGGGGTTAGCGAATGCTCCCTCTGCGAAGGAAGGGGAAAATCATACGCTTGTGTGTTGGCCTATGTTTGTGCGTGTGTACATGTGTGCGTGCGTGTGTGTGCATGAGTGTGTGCAAACACCCACATAAATAGGCATGCATGCAAGTACAAACACACATGTGAGCGCACACGTGTGTGTGTGTGTGTGCACGTGTGTGTATATACTTGCGTTTATGTGTGTGTCTATTTGTGTGTGTATGAGTGTGTGTGTGTGTGCGTGCGCATGTATGTGTGTACACATGGGTGTGTGTGCAAACACGCGCATAAATACGCATGGCTGGAAGTATAAACACGCATGTGAGTGCACACAGCTGCACACACAAACACACTCACAAACGTGGGGCGACACACATGCACACACACACACGCACACACACACAACCACAGAAAAGACACACAGACAACCATACACAGACATACACACACACACAGGCGCGCACACACACACACACACACACAAAGAAACCAGCCATACATAAAAGCAGTGGCCCGGAATTCCCCATTGCCTTAGCCTCAAGACCCCTCCCCACCATCCCCCACCCAACCGAAATTCCACCCGGTTCAAGTCAATGAGACCGTTTTCTGTCTGAGGAGAGGACAGAGAAGTAATGGTCAGGTCCAAAGCCTCCCCAATATCAGGCGATATTGAGCCACTCCGTGTCCGTTTTCTGCACCCCCTCCCCCCCCCCGCCGCCACGTTCCCGCTCCCAGATCCCGGCCGGCTCTGGGAATATTCCTGAGAGGTGAAAGCTTTGGGAATGGGCATGAGGGTCAAGGAGCAAAGCCGACAGGTCAAATGTTGGGATTGAACAAGGCGAGCGCGTGGGGGGAGAATATCTCCGGCTGTGGGACAGGAAGCACCTGTGTCGGCCATTAACATGGGGGTGGGGGGCTGGGGGGGGGGGAACACCGGTTAATTAACAGTGTCCTCCCTACTCCCGTCTGCAACGTCAGGGCAGAAAGAACTCGCAGCCTGAGACCAGATGGCATTTCACAGCCAACGTTTGTTTCCTTGAGTATTACGATGGGGCGGAATCTTTTAAGGGGAGAAAGAAAATCTTAAATCCTGCCTCAATTTGGAAGCCGGTTTATTTTTTGGGGGGGTTGGAGGGGGGTTATTAATGAATAATATTATAATAATATTAATATATATAATGTAAATGAATAATAATAATCCTTACATTTTATCACATCAACTCAGAGCGCTTCGCAGGATATACTGTAAAGTGGATTCACTTTATTTGGGGGGGGAGTGAAACAACAACTTGCATTTATATAGCGCCTCTCACATCAGGAGGATGTCCCCAAGGCGATGGGAAATGCTGTTTCACACAGCAATATCCCAGCCATGGAGTGAGTCACTAGTTTTATTTGAGGAATTGTTGGCCAGGACACCGTGAGAGAGAAACTCCCTTCTCATTTCGAATGGAGCCGCAGGATCTTTAACGTCCACCTGAACATGCAGACAGCTTAACGTCTCATTCGGAGAGAAGAAAAAAAAGGCTTCCAGATCAAGATTTTCCCCCAAATTCCGCCTGATCTTAAATTTTAAGACAATTTTAAGACACTTTAAGCGTTCCCAAAGGGAGGGTCGGGGGCTGGGAGACGCGGAAGGGGTTTCGTATCTGTGTGGACCCTGCAGATGTTCCAACGCCTTGGCGGAAAGCAAAGGGATGAGAAAACAATATGGCTTTAAAGATTATTTCTCATATATAAATATATATAATATATACACCTATACTATACCTAGTGCAGGTATAGTTCTCTCTCTATATATATTATATATACACAAACATATATATAAAAATTATAAAGGGAAAACAATGAGTAATATTACTGACAGCGAGAGATATCAGGAGCGAGCATCCAAAAAATTAAATACAGCCAAACGGAACAGAGCAGAAGAGATACGACGAGAAAAATCTGAGTGCAAGATGTCACCAGTAATTTCCTCTCTCCGTCCCCCTCCCTCCCTCCCTCCCTCCCTCGCTTCCTCCTCATACACCCCCACTCCATCAAGGGCAGGACAGAGGAAGAAACTGAACCAATCTCCCCACCCACACACATGCACCCACTCAAAACAAAATCCAGAGAGGGAGGGAGAGGTAGAGGGGGAGAGAGAGAGAGAGAGAGAGAGGCGGGCAATTAAAAACACGCACAGGCAATACCGAAGGCCGATTTAAAAGAAACAACAAAATTCTTCCATGGATAAAAAGGAGAGTGGGAGTGGTGTGTAGGGGGGAAGGGGGGAAGAGAGAGAGAGAGAGAGAGAGAGAAAGAGTGGGCTGATCGCAAGATCTGTATCTGCGGCTGAAGTGACGGTGAGCGGTTGTATATCCAGCACCACCCCCTCCCTCATCAGTGTCTGTCCCAATCCCCTTCCCCCCCAGCACACGCTCCCCGCCTCCCCCTTTCCCCCTCAGCCCTTTGCCACTCGCTCATGTTTACCGGCTCGGTGGCTGTCCCCTCGCCCCCTGCCATTACCTGTCGCAGGTTGCGTGTCACCTTGACTTCGTGCCAGGCGTTGTCGTTGAACTTGCCGTTGACCGGCTCCACCAGGGCCTCGAAGGCGCCTGAACCCAGGTTGATGACCAGCGAGACGGCGCCGTCCTTGAGCGCCAGATTGACGTAATCAGCCGATTTACCCGTGTGGAGGATCAGCCCGTTCCTCTGCCACGTCTTGAAGCTCAGAGTGATCTCGTCGCTGCTGCTCTGGATCGGGTTCTGAGACAGGTCGTAGCACAGGTACTCGGAGCCACGGAACGTCGCGCTGTTGTCTTCCCGGGCTGCAACAACAGGGAAGGGTTATTTTAATCGGTCAAGCGTCCCCTTTAATTTCCCCCCACCCCGGCTGTGGGGCGGGACGTAAACCACCGAGCACATGTGGGGAACACACCAAGCGCATAGACTCACCCCCCCCTTGCCCCGACCGGACAGGCAAAGAACATGGCACGAACAGGGGGTGATGTTTAACGTCTCACCCCCCGAAGGACAGCGCCTCCGACAATGGGGCGCGCTCTCCCCAGTGCTGCGCTGGAACGTTAAGGCTTTGACTGTGAGCTCAGTGCCCCCCAACATGGAACCCACCACCTCCAAACTTGGAGGTGAGAGCGTGATCCACCAACCGAGCCACCGGCTGACACACAACCCAGATTCAGTTGAATTGGCCTTTTGAGTCGGTGATAATCTTTCTATTTGATGCAGCATCTCATTATTGATTAAACATCTCAAAGCCCTTGTGATCGTTAATAATAACAATAATCATCATTGCATTTGACACAGCGCCTTTCACGTATTATCCGAAGGACGGCACTTCCTTGGGGTGGAGGGGGGGGAAGATCAACATAGACCATATTTTGGGATACAGCAATGTATATGAGTAATTTGAAATGTGACATATATTAAGTGTCAGATGCTTGGAAGAACCAGGCAAGTTTGGATGTAAGGTTATAGACTAATCCACACAGAATTAATTGCTATCGACCCCTCCATTATTGTAGAAAGCCTAGATAGACCTTGGTCTTTTTTTCATCGAGCAATTCCTAACCGTACAGGCTCCAAGTTTTAAATGAAGGCAATGAAGTTTTGAGGCTTCCCTTTCGATTGGTTGACGGACCCACATCTCAACCACTCAACATCTCAACCACTAACCAAACTGGTTGGGTTAAAAGTGTTTGATGCCTCTTGTGAAACCCACACACAACGCTTTACCCTTTTCCATTGCCACAGCAATGTGAACCAAACACCTTATTAATGTCACCTCTCACAGCACAGTCACTACGCTCGCCTGTGAAGTGCTTTGAGATGTTCTCAAAGTTACAGGCGCTTAATGTCCTACAAACAGCCATAGAGCGAAAGGGAGCGAGAGAGCGAGGGGAAAGAGAGATGAAGGGAAAGAGAGAGAGGGAGACCCGGAGAGAGGAAGAAGAGCAGGACACCGTATAAATGTCAGCGAAATGCCAAACAATCATTCCCAAGGCACGGAGCCAGGCAGCTTTGATCCCAGCCAGAGTGGGGGAGCGACAAGACGCAGGTCAAACAGCTGCTCTAAAGGCCACAATAAACACAAGGGCTTTGTTTAAAGGGGAAAAACCTCCTGAAATGGCGGTTTTAGCTGGTACCTCAATCCTCACTTACTGCACAGCAAACACACCAACCCACCCCCGCCTCACCCCCTCACTCTGTCTCTTTGGAGTCCTGTAGCTCGGTGGTTAGAGCACTCGCTTTGCAAGCGAGAGACCTGAGATCAATCCCGGGGGGTCAGGGCCAAACCTTGGGCAAGTTTCCTTACTCCACACAGAGCCTAATAATAATCCCTCCAAAACCAAAAACAATAATAAATTGGTCATTTTCAATCTACGACTGTTTGTGGGACATTGCTGTGTGCAATTGGCTGCCGCGTTCGCCCACAAATATACAGTCAATTCACTTTACAGTATATTCTGTGAAGCGCTTTGGGATGTCCTCCCGACGTGAAAAGCGCTATATCAAATGCAAGGATTATTATTATTATCACGTCGTTGGAACACGTCTCAAAGCACTCCATACATTGTAAAGTGACGTGGGCGAAACGCAGCAGCCAATTGCACACAGCAGTGTCCCGCAAACAGTCATGGATTGAGCGACCACATTTTTTTTCTTTAAGGGATTATTACCCCCGGAAAAGTGATCCGCCAATCGCCTAACAACCAGGCTCCTACTTACCGCTAAGCAATCAGAGGCCTATGGAGTAAGGAAACTCGTATAGGTTTTGCCCAGCTCGGGAATCGAACCCGGGTCCTCTCGTTTGCGAGGCGAGCGTGCTAACCACTACCCTACGGGACTCCACAATATATAGAGGTTCAAAGAAAGACTTTGATTTAACTTCTCATCTGTTTGGCAGCGTGTGGCTCAGTCAGTCATGCTCTTGCCTCCGAGTCAGGAGGTTATGGGTTTGATCCCCCACTTCAGGGGCTGTGAGCTCACACAGTCTAGGCTGACGCTCCAACCCAGCGCTGTCAGAGGTGCCGTCCTTCGAATGAGACGTTAAACCTTACTCCCTCTCGGTCTGCCCTGTGCAGGTGGACATTAAGGATCCCACAATCTTCTGACTTGGGGCAAGAGCGTGAGGGTCTGAGCCAGGCCGTCTGTGTCAAACAGCGGGTTCCAATTCTCCCCAAGCAATTAAGAGTTTGGGCGTTGTGGGGGTAGCGGGCAGCGGGGGGGGGGGGGGCGAGTTGCGGAGGAGGAGTCGTAACGACAAGGAAAGTGAATGCGAGTGAACAGTAAACGAACACAGTGGAGGGAATTTGCAGAAGGCGGCTTGAGATTTATCAGAAGCTGCCTGAAGCTGCCTTTTACGATGATATAAAAGTAAACTGTATTCCCAGGAAGCATTAAATATTTACAGTAACATTTGTGTTAATTTACTTCATCGGAGGGCTGTTTTGCTTCCCTCTATTTTAACAGCTAAAGCCCTGCTCGGAGCACACAACGGGAGTTCAGAATCCCACATTCCTTTCTCTTTGCAGACTGCGCCGCAGTGAATCTTTAACATCCACCTGGACAGAGAAAAGATCCTGCGGCCCCGTTGGAAAATGAGAAGGGAGTTTTTCTCTCTCTCTCTCTCCCTCTCTCGCTCTCTCTCGCTCCCTGGCCAACAATCCCCACAGATAAAACTGTTCACTCACTTCACGGCTGTTGGTGAGGAAGTCGTTGTGCGCAAACCGGCTGCCTTGTTCGCCTTCGAACAGCTTATAAACTTTGTGAAGTGTGTAGAGGTGTGAAAGGCCCCTGTGTCAAATCCATCCATTTCCCACGAATTGTCTCACGTTTGGCCCACAAAATATACAGTTACTACACCACTTTACAGTATATTCTGTGAAGCGCTTTGAGACGTCTCGAAGATGTGACGAGGCGCCATGTCAAATGCAAGGATTATTATGAGTGGTAATATCATTAATTGATTACACATATACAGATTTTGACATATCTCTGGTGCTCTCCTCAATTTTTGTTTCAAAATGGTCTTGTGGCTAAGACCAGGTGGAATTGCTGATGCCTGGCCTTGCTCCCCACCTCACCCCCACCTACAAGGGCATTGCCCTTTTAATACAATTAAAATAATCCACTAATCAGCCCCTAATGTGATTTCCCATTAGATTGTGGCAGAGCGATTACAACGCAAATAGGATTCTCTCAGGCGCTCACTGCAGTAACCATCGTTAATTTTATTATGTCGTTGGATAACGAGATGAGCCGCTGCCACCCTCCACCACCCGCACTGGGACATGGCTGTGCGCAACCAGTATCTAGCGGTCATTATACACACTGAGAACTGGCAACCAGGGTAGAGGGCAGCAGGCGGTGACGCAAAGTTAGGTGGGAAGTTTGTGACTTTTCACATCTTATTAACTAAGATAATGAACGCGGGAGATTTTAGCCCCTCCGTCGCCTCATATCGCTGTGCTGTAACGTGGAGGACTTTGCGGACAACCTGAAGATTAATACGTGAAAAAGGAGTCAGCTACAGGTGTGTGCGTGTGTGGGGGGAAAGGGCAGGTAAATGGGATTGCTCCTAAAGGAACCAGCACGGACACGATGGGCCGAGTGGCCTTCTGACCGTGCCTAGGGTCAACTCCCGCCGTCTCGGCATCGGGCTCAGGCCCTCTGGGGCGCTGCCCCGCGTGAAGGGCGCTGTGTAAGTGCAAGTTGTTGTTGCGCTGTGAATTTCCACGGTACTGCGCACACATTCACACAAACTGCAGCTCACTGACCCACCTATCCAGGGGCCCATCTAACTGAGCTGCGTGTATCCTGTGTATAAACAGACGCATTAATAATGCATCAATTGTTACAAGCTGGCAGCTCACGATGTGTGAAAGTTAAAACCCTCTCTAAACAAATTGAAACTTGACATTTCTGCCTCATGAATATTGCTGTTTTGGGCATATGACATTTAATTGAATTTACATACCAGTTTGGTTTAATGATTATTAAGAGCCACTCAGAGAGTCGTTTCCCCCCCCACACCCCTACTGCTGCTCTTCTGTTTGTTTTCAAGGCTTCTTATCTCCGCTGAAACAATAATAATAATCCTTGCATTTGATGTAGCGCCTCATCACTTCGTTGAGACGTCTGAAAGCGCTTCACAGAAGATACTGTAAAGTGGATTGACTGCGTATTTTGTGGGCGAAACGCAGCAGGCAATTGCGCACAGCAGCGTCCCCGCAAACAGCCGTGGATTGAGTGACCAAATTATTATCATTATATTTTTTGAAGGGATTATTACCCCCGGAAAAGCGATCCACCAATCGACTAATAACACAGGTTCCTACTTACTGGATTACAATTGTATAGCGCCTTTCACAAGAGATGTGTGGAGTAAGTAAACTCCATAATAAAAATAATAACTTGCTGTTTACACAGTATGGAGGGGAGATGATCATAGGCACAATTTAAGCGGAAATCTTACAGGTGCGATCTGAAGACGGGCAAATGGGGGGAGGAGAGGGTGGGGGTAGAACGTTTGAGACGGGGAGTTCCAGAGGTTCAGGGCATCTCGAGTCTCTCTCGGTCTCCTGACTGACGATCACCCAGAAAAAAAAAAAAAATCGCTCACTCGCTTCATGGCTGTTTGCGGGACGGGACTTTGCTGTGTGCAAATTGACTGCCTCCTTCACTCAAAGCGCTTCACGGGATTTTACTGTGAAGTGCAGTGACTGTATATTTTGTGGGCAAACGCGGCAGCCAATTTGCGCAGGGCAACGTCCCACAAGCAGCCATGAAGTCAACGAGCGATTTTATT